ATTTTAAAAAAATCTTTTAAACTAAGGGGATAATGAATTAACAAAGAAAAATCTTCAATCTGATGTCACACATGTTGAATTTTAATCATATTTGCATCTCGCATTCTAAACAGTTCATTAATTATTTGGCCCCATTAAACATTTTTTTAAAATCAATATATTGTTATGAAAACGAAGACTATGCAACACTTCAGATGCAAAGCAGGAGGCTTTTAAGAACTTGTGGAACCTGTCTGTAGCTCCTTAAAACAAACACAACTTTTCCTTGGGCTGCCCTCTTCAGCTTCAGTATGATGCTAGTAGAAGTCCTTTTTGGTTTAAACAGTTGTTTAAAAAAGATGCTGCATTTCTGCACTCATGGATGCAGAAATGCATTTTTGTCTCTGAATCCAAAGCTTTTCATAAACATAATTTTCACAACAATATTTTTTTAAATAAGGTATCCTTTAACCCACGTCTGGAGCACTAATCAGCCCTAGCACAAATTTACATTTGCTGAGTAGCTTTCATAACTTCAAGGCATTGCCTTCTAGTTTTCTGTGTGTATGGCAGCTTTTCTTCCTTAGTAAGCTGTTGTGAACACATTGTAGAAAATAGCTAGAGACATGTCTCTGCATAAATGCATATGACATTAGATACATCATTAAGGAAAGCTGTAGAGTTGAATTTTTATTTATTCATTTGTATCCCTCTTTTATTATTTTAACAAATAACTCAAGACGGCAAATATATCCAACACACCTTTCTCCTCCTGTTTTCCCCACAGCAATAATCTTGTGAGGTGGGTTCAGCTGAGAGAGAGTGACTGGCTCAAAGTCACCCAATTGGTTTTCATGGTTAGGATGGGACTTGAACTCACAAACTTCTGCTTTCTAGCCTGCTGCCTTAACACTAGATCAACTTGGATCTCTATTGTTGTGTTGATCTATTGCAATAAACGTTATAAAGATTTTAATAGTTGAAGGCAAAGGGCTGTGCAGCAATTTAGATTCAAAGGGCCAAACATGTATACTTGTTGAGAGCACTTTACATTAACATTCCAAATTACATTTTACACATATCACTTCGGATTGCTACAGGCATGTGTTGAAATAGTTCGATTCATCTAGGGCAGGGATGTCAAACTTGCAGCGTCACGTGACTATCGGGACTTTTTCCCCCTTCACTAAACCAGCCCTGGGCGTGGCCAGCATGTGAAGCATCCGGGCTGCAAGTTTAACAGCCCTGATCTAGGATACCATTTCTCAAATGAGTGCTCTCCAGATTGTTTGGATTATATCCAAATACTACACAGACCAGGAAATATGGCAATCATAATTTTGAGTTATGGAGTGTAGTAGATCACTTTCTTGCAGTCATTTACTGAACGTGTTGAATATGGGAATCAACCCATACTTTTTTAACCTTGGATGGTATCTTTGAAAAAGGATAGCATGAAAAATCAAGATCAAAGAGTTAATGCCTTCTTCGCACAAAGCTGCTTCCTAGCATTTACCAAGCAGATTATGATTATAAGTTAATAAGCATAGTTACATTAATAAAGTATCTCCCTTCACCAGATATGTATATAGGAAAAACCCTAATTTTAAAAAAGTAGATTGTCAATGAATCTCCTGGAATGTATTTATATTTAAAAAATGTGAATGATTGCAGTCTTTTAACATAAGTAATAATAGGAATTAATAGTTAGAAAAAAATGATAATTTATTATGAATGCATCAAGGTACTGATAAAATGTACAGATATGAAAGGCGGTCTCTAAAGCTCATTATCTCCAAATTGACCTAAGATGTCTCCAGGGTTCTGTTTTCAAATAATTAGTATTTTACCCTCAAATGAATGGACCAGCAGCTTCAGTATTGGAAGAGAAAGATTATACTATACCAACAAATGTTTCGTGCCATTTATTTGGACTGTTGTTGGTACTTGGCCAATCTGTGGTCAAAATGTAGGTGTATAGTTTCAAGCTTTTAAGGCTCAATTGAAGAATTTAGTTACAGCCTTTGTGTGCTGCAAGTAGGATTATTATGCTCATGATGTTTAACAAATGAGCAGGGTTAGTTTTCTATTTTTTTTAACAATAGGATCTAGGCTACTGAGAATTACCCCATTTAAAAGTGAAGCAGTTAGTCTTTGTAATTTTAAAGAACCAATTTTACATTTGCTTAGAGCCACAAACAAAAGGAGGAAATAAAATTGATTATCTTACAGTCAAGTAATTCTGTATGACTTTGCCATTTTAAATATTATAAATATATATTGGCAGATGGTTTAGAGAGGGAAATTCACTAAGGTTGCTGCTAATGTTGATGCTAGACTAATTTGTGCATGCATAAGTGTTCCTTTTTATATTGCAATTCTGTAAATAATGTCAAAATCAGTTGTGCTGACAATTTCATTTTCTTAAAAAGCAAAGGCAACATTTGGGTATTCCTAGTAAACTTTTTGTGGAATATCCCAATTGTCCTAATCAATTATAATTGATTATAATCAGGAGAAAACCAACCATTGCACATAAATGCCTTGTAGAACATTTGGCAACAATAATCAATGGGAGCTACCACAAAATACAACTGGAAATGTTATAATGCTGCATTCAGAAGAAATAATTATAGTGAAGTAATCTATTTGTTAAGACAATTTTTGAGTTTTAAGGAAACTGAAAACATTTTCTCAAAATATTATTTAACAAACAATAATATGCCGTTTTGTATTCCTGTCCAATGCTTCATTATTTTTTTTATTTTTGTATGGTTTTACTGATTAGTTTAAAGCCAGTGTTCAAACCAGGCTATCAGGAATCTCAAGCATGTATTCTTAGGTAACATAATCCCTTCAAAGTTTGTTAGGATTCCCATATTAGAAGGCTGCTACTTTAATGTTGGCTGCTGTAAGGAAAAAAAACATTTACGAATAAAATATAGCTTTCAAACATTTATAGACGGCTGGACTATATTCTTCATTCACTACAAAATCTCAGCATCTCCCAGTGTGTCTAAGCTTATTTAATTCCAAACTAAAGATGATTCCTCTGAAGGAATAATATACATTTCCCAGAGTCTCCCGTCGCACAAGCATTGTAATTGCTCAATTATATAACTAATAGACAAATGTGTAAACAGGGAAAGGAGAGGGAAGAAAGAAGGACACTACCCTTTTAAATAAAAGACGAAAATGTGATAAATATGGTAAGTATGATGCCAAGGCCTTTCCAAAGGCTTTCCAAATAGCTTCTCTAATCAAGCTTAAACCTGATTTTAAAACTCTCTGTGTGAGTGTGGGTGTATGGTTTGCATGAGGATGTGCGCGGGGATGCGTCCTGTCCCCAATGCTCAATCCAAGCTCTCTTTCTTACAATCTCGCCTTTTGCTACTCTTCCAAATCTGTGAGCTTGCTTTTCAAATCCAATTTAAAGATTCAAGGTAGGTTCGTAATTTACACTGATTAATATGAAGTTCATTGGCTTCTTCTCTTGATTTGAAAATCATGATTTGTGATTCTCTATATATCTCCTTTTCTTGATATCAATCCACTTTATAGTCCATACAGTTAAAAGATATGGAATCAAATGAAATGGGCCAAGATTTATTCTTTAACAAATTATTGAAGTTTCGAGAGGGAAATCTCCACAAATGGAAAGTGAGAGAATTACTTGAGAGAATTAAATTGTGGCAATATAAATAGGTATGTCTTCTTGTTTTTTCAGGAATCACCAGTCTACTTGCCAATAGTGTTTACAGTGCTGCATATCCCTTGCATGATGTAAGTAGTTTTAAAATATATTTTGTGCTTCTAGAAGACGATACCAAGAATCCCTAATGCATTAGGTATGAATGACGCTATGCTAAACATCTTCACTATTTCATGAGCTAGCCAGTTGTACATTTAGATTAAAAATTAGCAGTTTGTTTAATAATCTACCAACTTGTTATGGATTTAGTCCCAAACTGAATTTCTTTTCATTTTACATGTAATAAAACTATACAGTCAACTCAGCAAATAACCAACTTAGCAAATTCTCACTTAGATTTTCTACCTTCAAGAAATATATATCCCACTTAACTATCTGTCTTCTGATTTAAATATATCTGATATCTTTTTATGGTTATAAAGGTTTGGATGGTGATAGAATAGGATGATATATTAACCATTCAATTTATTTTTTATTCTGGCTACATATTAAATGATGGTTATATTTAAGCATGCATGGCACTCTTTGGTGACTTTTTATATACAAAATAAAATATTAAAGTGCAGGTAGTTCTCAATTCTGGTAAATTCTTAATCATGAATAATATACATTTATACGATGGATGTTTATGATCATAATATTAAAACCCAGGGTCACCTTAGAGGGGAGATGGCAAATAAATAAAATGTTTTGTTTAAAAGTGACAATTTAGTCAATGTCGTGCTTGAAAAATGAATGTTAACACAAACTTTAAAACTTACGTTTAAATAACACAAATCTTATGTTCTTAGGACTATACTCAGTCAGAAGATTTAGAACAAAATATTCTGAAGGGAATATATTTTCCTCTGATTCTGGACCTTATTAGTTTTTTGGGGGAAAGACAGCTAGGTGCAAATAAGATATATTCCTGCATTGGGTATTTATTGTGGAATAACATCATTTTTCTTTTGTTAAAGGGTGATTATGAAGGTGACTATGTTGAGCCTAATGACAGAAAAGTAAGTTGATATAGGGGAAGAGAAGCATGTTCAAGTGTCAACTTTAAGAATCGTGGGTTGTGATATAGATAATTGCAAATATTTTACAGAAAGAGGTATTTAGAAGTGCTCTTTTAAACTCTTGTATTAACTGTGGCAGGATATCCTCTGTAGATGGAGGCACACATTATTTATTGAAGAATTTACCATCGCAGACCAAAAAGACAAAAAGGAAAATCAATATGCAGTCTATCCCATGTATAAACTTATGTCACAGCAAAAACTAAATAGGCCTCTGTTATGCTCAGCTCCAACAGGTTCTGACTGCTATTGCTATGGCAAGAATTTGGTCACTTTCTTAGAGACTTTACAATGTTGGATATTTAATAGGAATCACATAGTTGCCCATCGGGACTAGATTGATACTTTGATAATTTTACAGATGAGGATAGATTAGCTCCATCCCCCCAGGAATGGCATTTCAAAGATGTGCATGGAACTGTCTCAATTTTAGTCATAATCATTTTGAATAGGATTATTATTGAATCTCCCAGTGAATACCATTGAGGTCAGAGCACTTCTGTATGACTGTAAGTACCCACCTCTATAATGACACAAGCATATCTAAAAGTATGTGGCGAAAGGGAATACCTGACCACATAGTAGTAAAGGTGTAAGGTTTACTATAAATTTATCCCTTTGTATATCATTTAGACTCATATCATGGGTCCAGAAGAGACCTTGGAGGTCTTCTAATCCAACCCTTGCCCAAAACAGGATTTTCTATACCATCTCACACAAATGAATGTACAATCTTTTCTTGAAAACCAGTGATAGCCATTCACAACATCAGAAGGCAAGCTATTCCACTGGTTAATTGCTCTTGCTGCCAGGAAATTTCTCCTTAGTCCCAGGTTGGACCTCTCTTTAATGAGCTTCCACCTGTTGCTGCTTGTCCTGCCCTCTGGGGCAATCAACCCTCTTGACTGCTCCTCAGATACTGGAAGACAGCTATTATATGTAAAATATATATATCAAATATATCAAACACGTAGATGATTTATAGTCAGAGAGCAATGGACATAATGTTGAGATTGAGCATTCTCTGGTTGATTTTACTCCAGGCTTTGGCTAAGCTCAGCATAGATAAGGATTGTGAGGATAAGCATATAACAGACTACGCTGGATGTTACTTACTTCTTCCCTGGGAATTGTATTAGTCTATTAGTACAGGATGGATTAGAACTAATTGGTCTATTAGTACAAGTTGGATAGGTTTGTTTAAGCCAGAACTTTTATGTGGAAGCACCTCAAGTCCAAAATCTAAAGAAGTGCATTTGCAACAATAAGAGGAACTTGGAGCAGAGACTTCAGGAATTTGGACTGAACTACTTCTGGCATAACTGTTCATTAAAAGAACTCCATGTGCTATATACAGAAAGACTTAGCAATTTAGTTTTAAAAGATTGAAGTGCTGCAGGTACATAATTGTTTCTCTTAGAACTTGTTTTATCTGGTTGTATTTACTAAAAGGCACAATAATAACTCCCTTAATATTTGGACAATCAGCAATACCCAAGTTGAGTAGCCAAAGATTTTATGAAAACCTAGATATCTATTTCCAGTTGCACACTTCCTGGAAACTTCAGTCCTCAAACTTGACATATTCTGCACATACATACTGTCAATCACACAATAAGTGGATGGCAAAAGCAAAAAGAAACCATTTTAATACTAGCAAGGTTGGAGACTGGTGTATTAATCAAAACTTAAGTAACTTAAGGCCACTTCTCCTATCATGGTAATTAACACAACAGTGTTATATTTATATGAAATAGTGGCCCCTCATCCAAGGTGGGTTGCCATTTTTTTACTACCTGTTCTGGTGTGCTCCCGTGTGCGTTGCTTCTGTGCATGTGCAGAAGCATTCAGGCGGGTGGGTGGAGCCTCCTGCCGCTGCTACTACCAGTTCACCTGATCCAGGTGGAATCGGCAGCAACCCACCTGTGCCCCTTATATAATTGATTATTTCTCCTTTTTGCTGCCATTTTTATCAATACTAATGGAAAAGAAATGGATTTAGTTTTTGTTTTCCAAGGCAAATCCTGATAAGTAAAGTGTAGAGCGCTATCATTTGATTTAGTTCTGTATAAATAAGTGGTGCAAATGGGTGTCTTGTTTTGCACTATATAATTATGTCTACAGCAATCTGCTACCTGCCGTTCAATTCCAAGGAAAGGCAGGTACCCAGGGAAATTGCAGGATGGTGGAGAGATGCACAATAGAAAAACAACATCAGGAACACCTGCCATCTCATGACAATAAAATAAGCTCAGATAAGAAGGTAGAAATATGGATCTAGTGGAGAACTTTGGGAAAATCATATTTCAATACTGATTTATTTGTTTTTATGTTAAAGGACAAATGGTTTTGGATTTTTTTAAAAAAAAGCTTGGCCATCCTTACTATTATAGAACTTCATTGGGGAGGGGATCATTTTCTAGGCTACCTCAATCCAGTCTAGAGGGGTTTTGATTTAATTATGGACCATGTATATTCCTGATCTCATTGTTAGCAACTATATCATCATATGGGGGAATGATGCAGACCCGGACCATTTAATGCAGCAGCTTCATTTCCAAGGGATATCAAAACATGTACAGCTCCATTAGGTACAAGATTTCATATAATCACAATCGCCTTTTAGGGTCCTAATCCCTAGTCACTTTCACCCCCAGACAATTTATCACATTCCTTTTCCATTCTTGTTTTCCCTTAATATATTCATCATTCAGCATCTTTTCATATTTCAGTTGTTAATAACATGTTACACCATTTCCCATAGTATAGAAAATTCAGTTCAGCTGTCATGAAAGTATGCTGTGAATGAAAATAGAGTTGTTGGTGGATGAATAGTCCAGCCTGCATATTGTTATCAGTACAAATGTTTAAATGAACCCATTTCTAAAAATAAATGGATTTCTTAAAATGTATGAGTTATTGAATCTAAAGTTAAGTATACTGGCCCTAGCTCAGAATTCAAGTTATTTAGTGGCATATTAAAATTCCGACCATAAGCTCTGAAGAAGGATTGAAGGTAGTTATCCATGAAAGAGTCTTTCATCTAAGTTCAGAACTGTCCTGCTACTTTCTCATATTCTTTAAAAGACATACCCAAAGGTAAAATTAAGACTTTCGGTAGCCTCTGAAAAATAACATCTCAAATTGTTTTACTGGATGTATTTAATCATGAATAGTTAATATATCAGAAACATTCTAAATATATGACCCAATTTTCTTCTTTTTTATGACTATGCACTGAAGAAAAGCAAAAAAAAGGTGAATAGCAAAATAATACCTTGATCTAATTTGATTTCTTGGCAAGATTTTGGCAAAGTTTTTCAGAAGTTGTTTGCCCTTGCCTGTTTCCTAGAGCTGAGAGAAAATGACTGGCCCAAGGTCATCCAGCTGGTTTCATGCCGAAGGTGGGGATAGAACTTGTGCTCTCCTAGTTTCTAGCCTGGTGTTCTTAACCACTACAACAACCTGGATCTCACATTAGCTTAGTACCTGCACATATCCAATCCCAGCTTAGGTATCTCAGTTGCATCTCACTACTCTCTGTTTATTAGTTTTTCTATAAATGAATATAAGAATATGATTGTGAGCCAAACCACAGACATAATCAATTTTTAATGCAAGCTGAATATATTGGTGGAACATTAAAAAAATGACACTAAAGACATTGAGAACTAAGCAGTAGAATTGAAATAAGAAATTACTTGTTTCCAGTTTTCATTTTCTGTTTAAATTTCTTTTCTAGCTCCTGTGTGAAGAATGGGCAAGTTATGGAGTATTTTATAAATATCAACCAATTGACTTAGTTAGGTAAGAAACAGTGATAACTCCTTACTTGTCCCTTACTCTAAGTGCTTATGTGTTTGCATATGTGCATTAATAGTAGCAGACTACAGCTTTTGGGTAACAGTTGTAGCCTGCTACAGTATTCAGAAAGCTGTATCTTTCATATAGCTCCTATAAAAAGTGGCGTTTGAAATACAGGTCCAAAGAAATAAAGCATACTGAAGTTTAGGATAAAAATTCATATTGCACAGGGCATACTATAGTCCTCTGTTTTTTCTCCTAGATTTACAAGCAATGATCTTAAACCATTTGAACAGTGCAATTTGGGTGATGGGGTTTTTTGTTTGTTTTTGTTTTGTTTTTTTGCATATTTAACAAATATATTAAAATGCATGGATCTTAGTTGGTCAGGATCTTAGTTGGTCAACAAAATCAGGTAAAAATAATTTTAAAGGGATGTTATAAACCATTTCCAATATGAGTAGTTGTCATATTTCCAGATCAATAAATCTTTTTTCACCTATTTTTTATGAAGGGTGCTTTCCCTTACATCCCTTTCTATGAAATTATATTGTTTATTTAATTTGGAGGTTTTTTTCTTGAGTTTCATTAAAAAGCAACTGCCATAGCAAATGTACCAGGGCCCTTGCGTGTGGTAGTTTAAATTTGGACCCATAGTAACTACTTAATAAACAGAACTGTTAAGTACTTCTTTTGGTGTAGGGATGAAACTATTATTGAGGCATGAAAGGATACTATGGACTGAAGATGCTTGGGAACCTCTGCCATAATGGTTTGTTTTATATTGAATCAAACCATTCACCCATCTAGAACAATGTTTCTTAAACTTGGCAACTTTAAGATGTGCGGACTTCATACTGATGGGGAGATTCTGGAAGTTGAACTCTGTGCATCCTAAAGTTGTCAAATCTGAGAAATACTGATTTAGAACAGTGTGGTCTATACACTCTCTCCTGAATTTAATGGTCTCTAAGTATATTGAGTCTTCTGGCTGCAAAATTCCAGACTCCTATTCCCAACACATCTGGAAGGTACAAAATTCAGGATACTCAGGACATTGAACAACAGCAAGTGTCTAAAGTTGCAGATAGCTCTTTCCCAGTTCCACCGAGAGTCAATCTGGAATTTTTTGTGTGCAGACCTTTTTCCTCTACTAATAAAGACTATGTGGAGGTCACAATTGATTTGGAATGCAGCAGCTCATGTAATAATGGGTACACTAAGCGACACCCCTGTAAGACCACAGCTTTGCAATTAGCGCTAACTTCCATTAGGCTTCCAGATACAATTCAAGGTGATTGCTATCACTTATAAAGCCATTCACGGCACAAAACCAGAAAGGTTGTTTATGGGACCATAAACTAATATCCAATTTCTTCTGGTCACAAGTTTCACAAAGTGAGTATGTTCCTGGTTCCCTCTAAGAAACAGTGCCAGATATAACTATTGAAACAGAAAGATAAAACTACTCAATAAGCAAGAGTAGAGTATTTACTTGGCGTTTTCGTCCTGGATCTGTTCCAAATGGCATGTGGACATGAATTCTCCAAGAGGAAATGCATTTTGGCTAATCAACAGGATTTATTTTCTCATTCAGACAGCCCTACTGTCTAATTCATAAATTTAGCCATGCTATGTTTGCCATGATACATTATACAGTGTTTTCTTCCTATAATTTATTTCAGGAAGTACTTTGGTGAAAAGATTGGACTATATTTTGCCTGGCTGGGAGTTTATACACAAATGCTCATTCCAGCTTCTATTGTGGGAATTATCGTGTTCCTTTATGGTTGTGCAACTGTTGATGAGAATATACCAAGGTAAAATATGTATACATAATTATCTGCGCTTTGTACAAAACCATCTTTTTCACTTCTGTTTTCTTGGTCACAGGGATATAATAAAGTTCCTGAGATATAGGACTGGTTAATGCAAATAAGCACAATCAAAAACTAAATGGTTTATAACATTTATCCTCCAATAAATTCCCACTTCTCAGTATACTCAGAGCCATAAAATGACTTGAGGGTGGCAGGTGCCTCTTCTTAACTGTATGAAAATGTGGACTTCACTCTATAGTCCACTGTATAGTAGACCTGTACTTACAACCTCTTTCATTTATGAGATTTTAGTGTATAGGAATGGAGCACAGTCTGCCCTTTATTTTTTCCAGAATTGTATTTAGATTCTCATGATGAAAGATAATAGGAAAATAGGGAAGGGAAAGAAAGGGAAAAGAGAAGTATAGCAGAAAGCAGGGAGAGCATTGCTTTCCAACTCTTTGGAAAGCACAAAATACAATTAAACTTCAACTTTTTATTTTACCAATTTAAAAGTACTAGCCATTTCTATGATAACAAATTAATCAGCAAAGTCCAAAGGTTAATTATTTTTCAGTCTTGAGTATAGAGTGCAGAAGAAGTAGTTTCTAAGTAAAAACAAAACCGGACATATTCTTTTCTCTAATTAAAAAAAGTCATTTTTGCCATATCTGCTAGCTCCACCATTTTTTCTATTTGTTCTTCTGTTGTCAAGGCTGACATATTCTGCCCTTTTCATGTATAATTTAATGTTGTATCTTCAGTATGTTTAGTTGGCATCCATGGACCCCAAAATGATCAGCAATAAAAACCCACATATCATCCATTTCTCTTTTCAAAAACTATTTGTAGGATTATTTGTTGCAGAAAAGATTTGTCATATGAAGTTATCCATTGCAGTTGCTCTGACTACATAAAGAAGCAGAAGCCACCACAGGAGCTATGGTACAAAATGGACATCTAAAAATTGAGGGTGAATTGCTCTTCATCCCTAATCCATTTGACTGCCAAATAGCTTTTATGGGAAAGGACAATGATTGATTGATAGATAGATAGATAGATAGATAGATAGATAGATAGATAGATAGATAGATAGATAGATAGATAGATAGATAGATAGACAGACAGACAGACAGACAGAGACAGACAGACAGACAGACAGACAGACAGACAGACAGACAGACAGACATTGCAATTTCCTTGCAACATTTTTCAGAACTGGTTTGCCACTGCTTTCTTCTTCAGGCTGAAAGAAGGTGACTGGCTCAAAGTCAGCTGGCTTTGTGCCTTAGGCAAGTTCGAACTTTGACTCTACTGGTTTCTAGCCTGATGCCTTAAACCACTATATCAAAGTGGCATTTTTACTGCTTAATTAAGCATCAAAATTCAAAATGTACATTCATAAGTTAGAAACTATCATGAAACTTTGTGATAAAAGTTACAAGCAAACTCTAGGCAGAAAATTTTTTTGTGCTTAATCTAGATTTTTAAAAAGGAGTGGATGAAATACTTGCATTTCAGAATTATTGAAAAATATGTAAAGGGGGGAGAAGGAACTTTGTGTCTTTTCTAATAAACAGAATGCAGGAATACATTATTTTAAATTATTTAATTTTATTGACTCTTACAGTCTAGACTTACCCCCAAAGCTCAAAGCAATATAAGTGGGGGTTGCTCTGTGATGTTCTACTCTTACATCTTTTGAATTTTGTGAAAATATCTTAAAAGAAGAATGGCAAGCTACGGTCATTGGCCCCAGTCTTTGCAGCCCCCAGAGTCTCTGCTAATGTTGAAATGTGGTGGTACAATTCCTGATCATTGTGACATATGGAAACCTTGGCATATGTTGTGCAATAAACTTAACATAAATTTAAAAACTGTCTTCAAGGTCCCCTCCATCCCACCCAGAAACAACTCCCACCTTGTTTGCATGACTACCTAAACCACAAAAATGTTAACACAGCCATAAAGTATAAAGTACATAAAAGTACACAGCCATAAAAATGTCCTAAAATAATAATATATTAATGTAATAATTAGATAGATTTGGAGAAAATACATTAATGTGTTCAGTCCTGTACAGACTGTGTCATCAACTAAAATTTCAGTCTGAGGCCTGTATTCAATGTCACAAGAAGTTAAATTCATTAAAATAGAATTACACAACTCTGAAATATGTTTAATTAAAGACTCCTTTTGAAACAAGCTTTATTCCTGATGATTAATGGACATATTCCATCTGGTATTAACCAGATTTGACCCTGCTAGGTTTTTTTTTAATGTTAACCATGATCAGGTACATTAAGTACCGTCTGATAAGGAAAGTGATGTATTAATTTATTAAATAAATAAATTGTTGTAACTGGAAATGGTGTCATGGTGAAAACATCAATTGATGGATTGGATAAGCAAAGGCAGTGGGCCTACCATTCAGATTTGTCTGGATAAATGATAGATGATTTTTATGTTTTATTCATATTGTCTAAAACTTGTTACAAACCATGAGGTTTAGTTTGCTGATGACAGAGATTATGTGTAGTGTTCAACCCTTCTTATTTCAGACAGTTTACCTTGTTCAGACATGATGCTCAAATAGGGAGGAATTCTGGATGAAAACTAACACCAGCTAGTACTAAACATAAATACTATAAATATGGTAATAATTTATGCTGGAAAGGAAAGAGAAAGATCAAGGAGAATCCTGGAATGCATAATTCTGCAGCCTGCTTCAAATCACTCTGTCATAGTTTAAAAATGGATAGTGATCCTTTGATATAGTATTAGAGCACTATATTTCTGTGATTAGAAGACTGGATTATGTTTCAAAATATCTGAGTAGATAGTCTTAGTGCACTACACTACTGCAGTCTTGTGAAGTAATAGAGTATAAAAAACAGAGCCCAAGTGATTATACTAATATAAAAGTACTCAGAAAGCTCAGGTGTTAAGTGCAGAAGTATGTCCCAGAGTAATAAGCCCAATTGTTTAATCTGCTTTTTCCAGTTGTCAGGAATTCATGATGCCTTTTGGCTGCTGTCCTTTAAAATTTAATTGTGCATGCCATGCAGCTGATGCTGTAATGCAATGCATCTGAAACGGGAAAAAATTAAGATTGGATAAGATTCAAGTCATATTCAGTGCATGTATTTCACAACTCAGGGTTTCAGTAGAAAGCAAAGGGAAGGATATGCTCACCTCTCATTTACTGTTTGTTTTTCCTCAGCATGGAGATGTGTGACCAGAGAAACAATATCACCATGTGCCCCTTGTGTGACAGAACATGCAGCTATTGGAAATTAAGCTCTGCTTGTGCCACTGCTCGGGCTAGCCATCTTTTTGATAATCCAGCCACTGTCTTCTTCTCAGTCTTCATGGCTCTCTGGGGTAAGAATGCTTATTTCATTTTGGAATAATATGCTTGAAGTTTTCATTTGACTTTGAGTTTAACTTTCCTTATATGGAGAACAAGTAGGACAATACGTCATCAACAGTTAATTATCTGTACTGTCTCTTTTTGGTCCTTCTGTTATAAAACTGTCACATTTACATTTATGTTCTGAACTGAAAGTTAAAATTTAGAAAGTTGCTTGGATGAATACAAAGCAAAGCATTTGGCACAGAACTGCTTAGAGATTGTATAGCATGTCAACGATATCTGTTTGCATACTTGGTCTTGATCTGATCTGATCTGATCTGATCAGAAGACTACGACACTGAATCATAGCTGAACTTACTTAAGTGTATTAAGGTTACCAGTAGGATACTGTTTATATCATTCAAGGTGCCCTTTCAATTTTGAAGGCATCTCCTTTTGTGAAGAACCTACATAACCTCATTCACATGTTGATATACTGTAGCAATAGAAAAGCAAAATGATTTGTGGGAAACAACAGCATAAAACTTTAGTTTTAAAAAATTAAAAGTTTTCTTCAATTATGAATTTTGGACACTTAAATCACATGGTCTGCATGCCAGTTGTTAGGGAGTAGGAGTGGGAAGGTTTTCTGATTTTGTGTTTCTCATATTGATCTGATTGCTTTCCATACCAGTTCTACTAGGCCAGGAGTGTCAAACTCACAACACGTTGTCACGTGATGTATCACAACTTCCCCCCCTTCTCTAAAATGGGAGAGGGTGTGGCCAGCATGTAACACATTGGGCTCGTGGGCCATGAGTTTGACCCCCCTGTACTAGGCCATCCTAGTTCAGATACTAGAAAATATACACTGAACCTGGCTAATTATTCATTGTATGTAACTGTAATATTCCTTGTGATACTCCTCACCAAAAACCAGTAAAGGAGGAAAATCTTTCTTCATGTACTCTCTTGTTGTTCTTATTGTGTCACCAAGTTTTCTCTTATCCTTGGACAAATACTAAGATCATGTTAATACTGTGGGCGAACACAACTCATGTTTTTCTATTGCTGGAAAGTATCAGTCACAGGAAATTGTATAGAGTCTGCAGAGGAGATTACTGGAAATTATTGCCCTCCCTTTTCTGAGGAGGGACGCCTATTCAGTATCACCCCTTATTTGCTTCCAAGATAAACTAGAACAGAGAAAGAGGGAGAGGGAGGGAGAGAGGGAGGGAGAGGGAGAGAGAGAGAAAGAGAGAGAGAGAGAGAGAGAGAGAGAGAGAGAGAGAGAGAGAGAGAGAGAGAGAGAGAGATTTCTCTTTAGATTCTTCACCTGGTTACTGTTTTTCATCAACATTCGTCCTTTAGAAAAAGACACTGCAAGATAATTGCCTACAGACATAGGCACCTCAAAATCTGATGTGTCATTCATGCCTACTTTGGGCATGAAATTTTGTAAAACTTGTATATAACTCATAGGAGGAAAATTGGAGAAGCTTCTGTTTTACCCTATGCAGAAAACCAACATAAATGCAGCTCTCTACAATTTTCCTTGCCTCAAGAATTGTAGGCCAAGGAAGTAAGCTATAATTTCAGAAGAGGGAATCCACTGCAAAGAATTTAAGCAGAGTGACTCATAAGGGCTCCTGCATAGCTCATGACAGGAATCCATGCCTTCAAATTTGCACTAAGCTGGATGTCAGGATCAGAATCATTTCAAACATGAAATCATTATACGAAGCACCATGCCCAAATATGGCATATTAAAGCTGAATTTCTAAAAATGAAGCAAGAAATACTTTTCTATAAAGTGCACTACAATTTCTACACAGGTGATCTTCACATATTACTTGAAGCACATGTCTTTCCTAAGAATGCATCATTGCATGTGAGGCTGCCCTCCTATACTATTCATGGTTTCTTCTTTCATGTATTTACATATGTTATTAGTCACAGGTATGGCTTGCAAGAGGATGTTTATGCAACGTAGTTGTAAGTTCCATTGTGTCCAAATGCAGTTCAGAAAAAGCTGCTGAAGCCTTGGAAAGCCACTGCAATTCATCATATAAACAATACTGATACGGTCTGACTCACGCCAATTCACCCTGATGATATATAGTGGTTTATTATGTCATAAAGCTGTTGCTATGGCTATAAAGGCCCTACTGATTACAGATATGTTCACATGGTAATAACTTGATGGCACTAAAAGACATTCTAAAAATTAATGTGAAAATGGACTTAATTCTAAATTTGGGAACAAATGTGAACAACATTTTGTGAATTTTTTATGCTAAAATTAGCTTTAGCACAGCCTGTCTCAGCCTGGTACTTTCCATAGTCTTTGGCCTATAATTACCCATTTTCTTATGGATACATTATGTAAAGACCCAACTCTCTGGAAAAACTCTAATGCTTGGAAAGATTGCTAGAAAGAGAAGAGCACAAGGTGGATGTACTTAGTTATAGCGATAATAAGCACACTGTTGAGAGACCTAAAAGAACAGGTTAGGGATGAATCATCATGGAGAAAAATCTATGCAGTTGTTACAAGTTGAGAACAACTTGATGCTGGAGGTGGTGGAGGTGGGTGGGTGGAAGTGATAGTAATGATGAAGGAGAAAGAGGAGGAGGAAGAGAAGGAAAAGAAGAACAATAGCAACAATAACATCTGTGTATTAAATTATATTATCCCCATTAATCTAGTCTAGCCAATATGCTGGCTGGAAATTCAAAGAGTTGCTGGCTAAAAACATCAAAAAAATAAAAGAATATCCTTGGTGCAAAAATAAAAAGTTTCTAGTTATTGCCTGAAATGGGTTGGTAAGCTCCATTTTCATATATATACAGTATATCAAAATATTTTCCAAAATACATTATCTTACAGCTCAGGGGGGAAGGCAATCTGAAACATACCTTAAAACTGCTGTCACTACAGTCCCTGCCTTTAGACATGTTATCTGTGAATGAAATCCAAGATAGCTAAAAGAAACAAGGTTACCTATTTCTTTCATTTGTTGTTTCCCTTGGCATAGTCTAGTTCAAAGCCTAGAAACTTTTTTGCTTCAATATCTTCCAGAAGTCCTGGTCAGAGTAGCCAATGTTGTAAACATCTAGGAAGTCAACTTAAGAGTTTGGTTGGCCATAGATTCCTCATTATTAGTCCCTTTTGGTACAGCTATCAGAACACCAATACAGTTGAATAGGTTCTAGAAAAACACATGGACCAATATTAAACAAGAGGCTTTAATACAGCCATAATGGGGAGGCTCAGAAAATGCAATTTGTTAATGCAGGCTACATACATTGAAATTCCCTCATCAAACCAATTATTAAAAATAAAATTAAAGTTCTACATTATTATCTGTTAGAGCTGGTTATCCATCATAGATCAAGGACACATTCCAAATCTGGTTGCTATATAAGCTATTATGCCTGGGACCTACTATTGCTTCATTGTCAAGTTGTAAAACTGTAGAACGTATTATTCATATTCTGTCTGATTTCAGTCCTATGGCTGTGAGCTAATGGACTTCAACCATTCAATCATACAGATATTCACGCAGATGAAATTCCAAAGAAACAATAATAGAGAAGTTTAGTTCAGCACAAACTGATTGATCTTGATTATGTGCCGTTAAATCAATTTTGACTCTTAGAAACTGCATAAATACATTTTTTGCAGGTTGATCTGTCCCCAAGCTAGTTCTTCAGGTATTCCAGCAAGTACCAATAGCTGCTTTAATTGCATTCACCTTCCTTGCTACTGTCATCCTGTTTCCTCTTTTCTTCTACTTTTTCCAGCATTGCAGGCTTCTCAAGAGAGCTAGGTCTTCGCATAATGTGCTCAAAATATGATGATTGGTGAGAATTCTGACTAATTTGTTCTTTGAGCCATATGTTTGTTTCCTTACAGCACATGTTTCATATATACAGTGCTAAAAGATATGGAACTAATACATAGTCTATTCCTAGTTTACCACATACGATCCAGTTTTATTCCTTTGAACAAATTTTACTCCAGCAAAATAATGAATTTCTCAGGCTTGTACTGCAAAAACCCTACATTCTGCAGGGTTAAAAACTTTCATTTTATGCTTCAGTAGAATATCAAAAACATGTGAAGTGACGTGATTTTAATTGCAATAACTTGTTATAGATGCTGATTTTTTTCCCATTAGCTTTGAGTATTTTTTTCCCTTTGGGTATTTTTTCCCCTTTGGGTGCTGTGACCCTTTTATATATTATGTGTGTCTGCATGGGTGCTATTTAGCAATGTACATTATAGAAGATGTCATCCTGCTGAACATCATTTTAAAGACTGTTGCCTTTTGATCGTGGAAGAAAGTTTACAAATTTATGAGCATGATACAGAAGTCAGGAAATGACTTCACAGAAATCCAGTGGTCAAGACCAGAGACTATAGAATCTCATAGCCCCATATCAGTGCAGCTGACAGCAGGGCTTGGTCCAGTGGTGGGATTCAGCCAGTTCTCACCTATTCGGGAGAACCGGTTGGTAACTTTCTAAGTAGTTCAGAGAACCGGTTGTTGGAAGAAATCTCCTTTTGATTTTTCCCACTTTACAGGGCTAATCCTGTAAGGAAGGCAGGAAGGAAACATTCTAGTGTTGTTTCTAGCCTAATCTTTATTGACCTGCTTACAGAAACTGCCTCTCCGGTTAACCCTTATTACATTGTAACAGCTAAGGCAAAGCGCCCATCGACCTGAGTGACCTTGAGTTGGCCATGCCCACCAAGTCACTTGACCACCCAGCCTCACCTACCCAGATGGTCATTAGAGCAGAGAACCAGTTGTTAAATTATTTGAATCCCACCACTGGCTTGGTCCCAAAAACTGTGAGAAATTGTGCCTCTGTTTCTGTATGCATGGATACATGCAAAAGAGAATGCAGAATGAGAAAAGGAAAACGACGATGCTAGCGAAGAGCCAACTTGTAGAAAGTGAAAATAGAGAACCAGTTTTACTTCTGAAATCTCACATTCAATTTTGGATAAAATGAATCAGCTATTGTTTTTCTCTGTTAAAAATATCAGCGAGCTGAGGGAAAGAACTAATTCATTTGAAGGCAGTTTACTTTGTACCTAGAATCTGCTCCTGCCTAACAAGCTCACAAACCTTTGGTTTGGCTCATTTTTCCGGAACAAATTGTGAGCCAAGGCATCTGGGCATTGTCCAAGGAAAATGCAGGCACAAGCTTTGTGTAATCAGAGAGATATTAGCTCTAAGCTTATTTTGAACAACTGGTACACATACAGACATCTCTGTGCTCTGGGTTTAGTGTTTATCATGATGGTTTGGCTTCATACAAGATGTGAAGCCCATCAAAAGCAAAATACAAATTCAGTTTCATAATAAACTGTCAACCCTGAGAACAAAACAGTTTATATTGTAAATACACTGTCCTAATTCTCATAATTGTTATACAGATATTTATTTCCTTAAGTACAGATAGTCCTCAAACAGCAACCACAATTTGGTCCAGCAATTCAGTCATTAAGTAAAGTGGTGCCTCTAAGTACAACAGCAGTTGTGCTTATAGCAATAGCAATAACACTTAGACTTATATACTGCTTTATAGCTATTTACAGCCCTCTCTAAGTGGTTTACAGAGTCAGCCTATTGCCCCCAACAATCTGGGTCTTCATTTTACCAAACTCGGTAGGTTGGAAGGCTGAATCAATCTTGAGCTGATGAGAATTTAACTGCTGGCAGCTGGCAGTCAGCAGAAGTATCCTGCAGTACTGCATTCTAACTACTATGCCACCACAGCTCTTATGAGCTGACTTCATCTTTCCTTTGTTTTACAAACCTGAGGAGATCATAAATGTGATGTTTCTTAGTCCAGTGTTTTTCAACCTTTTTTGTGCAAAGGCACACTTTTTTCATGAAAAAAATCACGAGGCACACCACCATTAGAAAATGTTAAAAAAAATTAACTCTGTGCCTATATTGACTATATATAAAGTGTTTTTCCCACAGCACACTTTACACTATGTCACGGCACACTAGTGTGCCGCGGCACAGTGGTTGAAAAACACTGTCTTAGTCAATATAGTGCCTCAGATGCTGAATAAGCCCCAAAGGTAAAATGTCTGTCCTTACAGGTACAGAGGCTGGGCCTGTGGGACAATGCCCAGCAGCCAGTGGCAGACAATCTCAGACCACCAATACAAATTGCAGTATCCAGAACTCACAGAAGTTGAAATTCAGTAGATGGTAAAAGGAGTCAGTCAAGTACTGAAGTAAGGTGTGGATAACACGACCGTCCCAGAGTGGACTGAGTCAGAAAGCTGGGTGGGGACACTCACATGGCGGGTTATATAGGCCAATAATTAATTAATAATCAGACTCAGTCCAATCAGAGCAAGGACTGTGTTAACCCATTCATGGATGCTATCTCCACCCTTATTGAGAACTAGAAGTAAGTTGCATGAAGTATAGTTACTTCAAAGAAGCTTATACTCTACATCATATTGATATTATGAAGGAATATTTAAACTTACATACAGAATATACAAAACTGATGAAGAATACTGGATAAGACCAAAATAATAATTATTCATACAAAAAAAAATTGCAAACTCCCATTAAGATACAGTTGCCACATAATTAAGATACATGTCTGGTTCCTCTCATTTTCCAAGTCTCTAGTGGTTTGTTGAAGACCACAGTACAGTGTTTTGATGATATCTATTCATAGTTTCTTCGGAATTACTCTCATGGGGTTGTTTAGCTTTTCTCCGTATGTTTATTTCTTTCACAATTGTTTACCATATAGCGTGGGTTTGTTCCTATTATTCGCATCCATGTCCCAAAGACATTCTATAATGTTGGGTAGAGTGTTTTTAAACAAGTTGCATGTATTGTAATTTGTCACCATTTCCTGTTTTATAATAGTTTTCTTGCTGAAAATTGAAATGTAGCTGATTTCTGATCCCATTCCAGTTACCAGCTTCAGCACCTTATTGTATACATATTGACCTGTATCTAATAGCCCTGACTGGACTAAAAGTGCAAGGATTTTAAATAAGTTTGCTCAAGCAGATCTCCTAGCAAGAGTTGGAGAAGGGTATTTAGGTATAAATACTCTAAGGGCCGAGAATAATATTGTAGTTTCTGATTCACTGTATTCTTGTCTCAACTGCTCAGTTGCAAAGGGGATTTTTACCCCCAAAAATAAATTCTAAGTAGCCTTTTCAAGGAAGCTGGGGGGAGGGAGATGTTCAGGAGTCAGTTCCAGCTGTCGCTACTGCCGGTCTGATCAGGGACACGACATGCCCGCGCGCTTGATGCGTAGAAAAAAAAAATTGCTTCACACATGTGCCGAACCCAAAAACAAAATGGTGGCCCCTACAGCGCTGCCAAAAGAACCTGTTCAGTGGCGTGGCAAGCCTGGGTTGCTGCTGTTTCCAGCAACCCAGGCCACCAAGTTACTACTGGTTTGGCGAAACTGATAGGAACCCACCTCTGGAGGTGTTCCAAGAGTACATATCATGATGAGGTTCCTTAGCATGATGCTACCTGATTTATGTAAGATAACTGAATAATTTTCAAAACTGCTATAAATAAAAGTTTATATCAAGGTGCAGTATTCTCCTGAAACCCTTCACAGACTCTTCTCATGTCATGGTAAGCAGGAGGTACACTTGAGGCTTGAGCCTCTCACTTTTAGTCCAAATTCTGATATTCAATTTGCATTTTTTTTATCATTAGCTAATTTGTTGGTTGATGATTTTGGAAAGGTCTTCTCCTACTGTAATTACTTGTTATAGATATGGAACAGTTGCAAGCCAATAAACATATCAGGAAATTACGGATAAATCAAAACCATGCTTTCCTTGAATACTAAACAAAAAATTGAAGTACATGAGTGCCAGACATCTCTGGAAAGATCATTCATGTTTCTTTATGTCAAAAGCATTTGGTAGTGACTGATCTAATGGAAATTTGTTGGGTAGACATAGCTCTCCTTTCCAAAGTTTTATTCTTCAGAGGAATAGTTTCTGAAAGTAGTCCCAATTGAGAAAGCAATGTGGTACTAAAGGTCTCCTATATAAGGCCCTTTTTGGAATGTCCTCTCCAGAGAAAGGACGGTTTCTCAGTTACAGTTGTGTTAACTCTGGTAACACAACTGTATTGATATTTCAAGTGAAACAAGCCAATTTTATTTTCCTCTTGTTTTTATTTCTGTGTCCATTTTTGGTTTGTTTTTGTATTATGTTTGCTTTATGGTTTTATAGTGGGATATAGATTTTTATCTTATTTTGTTTTGTTTGTGGTTTTCATTTTTTGTAAGCCATCTTAAGGCTTTTTGAAGGACAAATTATAATGGAATGAATAAAAAAAATCAATTCCCTCAGTGTGAGGATGTCAATCCAAATGGACTTCTTCTGTTCCAAAATTGCATTTTAATCTTTAAACAAAACAGAGAGCACTCTAATTATTGATTTATCATTCTGTCATTTATTACTGCTCTTATATTAAAGCCAAATAAGCTATAACCAGCTCTTTTAAAATTGCCTCCAGTGATTTTTTTTTTTTTTTTTTACATTTGTAGATGTACAAAAATCTGAGGCCTGGATCATTTTTAAAATTTCAAATAACTGATTCAAATCAATTATTAATATTTCACATTGCTTTAAAATTGGCAGCATTATAAGCAATTTCACTTTGGGGTTTATATCTTCACAGAATGGAAAATAGTGCAGATTAAGATCAGGAGCAACAACTAAATGATGGATAGAGATAATGTCCTTCTTCCTTTTTTCTTTCCTTTCAACTATGCAGCTGCTACCTTTATGGAACACTGGAAGAGAAAACAGATGCGTCTGAATTATAAATGGGATCTTACTGGTTTTGAAGAAGAAGAAGTATGTTAATTATTTTATATGCTATTTCATTGGTTGTTATTTTAGCTAAATTGTCTTTAATTTTCAGCCAGTGACGCATTGGAATGGAAAATCCTGCACATAACCATTTCTAAATTTGGAAAGGGTGTGTTAGTTTCAGGCTTGTTACCATGGAAGCCTGAAGCCTTGGCTGGTGAATGAAGGTTACACCTAGTAGTGTGTGCATTAAAACATATATAGCTCAAGAATTATTCCCTTGATGTAGGAACTATAAAATGTGAACATACTCATAATTTGTTCCATTTTAAAGATGCAGTGGCCATGATTACAGAAGTTTACAATTAGGAAATGTGTTATCTGTATCAGTTCAAAATTAAATATTGCTTCTGGCTAGCATATAGGGTGAAGACTGGAACTATTAATTTATATTTTAAAAAGGGAAATGTCTGTCTTTACATTTTGAAATGTTTTATTTTCCAATTCTGTTTGAAATTTAAGATTTCCAAGAAATAATTCATGGATGTTTGTGTTTACAATACCGTTTAAATTAAAAGGAGGTTGATCAACCATTTAGTTTTAATTGCAATTTTTTATTTACAAAGTAATGTACACACCTGACAAATTTAAAATATCCTATCAGATGTCTACTTCTGTGTTAAATTCAGTACTCAACCAAATAAATGTCTTATTAACTATAAGTAGAAAGCCCTGGATCTCTTTGATAGATTAGGTGGATTTTGCTCATATTCAATTTTAGGACTTCACAATATTTATTAAACAGAACACTAAGAGTAGTACTGTTATAGGTAAAGAAGACAAGATAGAGTCCAATGAATAGCCATTCTTTCTCTTGCAACAATTGTTCTACGCCCACGAATCCCCTACCCACATCACGTTTATGTTTCCTAATTTTATTTTGAGATTACATAGCCACAGGGAAAAAGGAAATTACTCACCTCTCAAGCTGTCAACAGAAACTGCTTCTTTCTATCAGAAGCTCTACAACTGGGGTTTGCTTATAAAACCTAAAGATGACCAGTCCATTCAGCCTCTCTTCTTCTAATAGCATTTATGCTTTAGCATTGATTTGTATCCCACCTTCATTACTTTATTAGTAGCTCAAGGTGGCGAACATACATAATACTCCTTCCTCCTATTTTCCCCACAGCAACAACTCTATGAGGTGGATTGGGCTAAGAGAGAGTGACTGGCTCAAGGTCACTTTTATGTCTAAGGCGGGACTTGATATATATATATATATATGTAGATTTTCACGAGTGTAGGTATCCTGGTCTTGTTGTATTCGGGTCTTTTCCTGTGTAAGATTGAGATTGTCTTGGCAACATTTGACATCTGGAAACCAGCCCTAGTCAACAAACGAGCCCGACCCACCACCCAGGCCATTACAACATGAAACAACAATAGACACACAGCCAGCACCAATCTACAAATCATGATACAACCACACAACCAATCATTCCACTTACTGAAACAAAGCCAACACTCCACACACAAAAACCAAGATTTATAGAAAGACGGCAGCTCCAATCACACTTTAAGGCCAAAACCCAGCCTGAAGATGGTGAGTGAGACCTCACTGCAATGTTGCCAAGACAATCTCAATCTTACATGGGAAAAGACCCGAATAAATAAATACATAAATACATAAATACATACATACATACATACATACATACATACATACATACATACATACATACATACATA